TTCTTCTTTCGGATCGTTCTATTTTTCTTGCTTACTTTTGACTTGCACTTAGTGCTAAAACGTCAGTCTTATTTGTGCTCAGCTTGAGGAAGCAAAGTACTCGATAGCTCCTCATCACTGCCCCTCCGCGCTCCGGAGACCAGCTCCGGAGCAGGGACGGGAGCGGGAGGGGAGCGGAGGACGGGCCCGGTCCAGGGAGTTAATTGGGTTTGCCGGCGTGACCCGGTTGCATTGGCAACCCAGAGCGCAGACGGCTTTGGCTCTTTCGCAGGTCTCTGGGTGGCGACTTGCCCGCACGCTGGGAAGCTCCGCGCCAAGGCGGAACCCCAGGAACCCCCCCGCTCGCACCACAGCTGTAATGGTATCGCACCGCTCCCAAAACACGCGCTGACTTCAGTGCCGCTTCTACAAACCAGCACTTACGCTGACGCTGCTCCTGCACTGCGCCTGGCCAAGCACTGCTCGGCCTTTGTGCCCTCAGAAGGACGGAGCTATGTTTACACATGCATGAAAACGCACTGAACTTAAAGGGAGTGGCCAGATGGGATCCTGCTAACGGAGAATCTCCTCTAGGCAGCTGTGCAGCCATCACATAAAGACCGTGACCATGGATCTTCCCCGGGAAAGAAGAAAATACTGCATCCCACTTCCAGCTAAAACCACCAGATTTGCTTAGCCATGGACTTTATGGATCTCCGTAAGCTTCACCCATAAATCCCTCACGGCAGTAAGAATCTTTCATGGACCAGATAATTTACCTGACTTCTCTTTGCACTTCTTTCCTCCTCCGCTACTGCAGCCATCTTATCTCTCCATCTTACAAACTATTTCAAATATAAAACGTGGATGGCACGTGCTTGTTCTCGAGCAGAGGGACTGGTGCCAACATGGCATCCCCCACGTCTGTGACACATGGCTGCGTCCCTGCGTGCAGCAGTAGTGTGCCACGAGGGCCACCGTCGCTGGCAGGACACGTGCACATAACAGCAGGACATCAAGTTTTATTTGCGTTATTATCAGGGACACAGGCCGGGTTTATGGGGCGGGCAGCGTGGCACCCGGTGGATTGGGGAAGCAGGGCAGCCACCAGGCACTCCTCGTGAAGCTGCTTTGGAGGCACTGGGTGCAGCCCAATATTCGTATCACTGAATCATCGAATGGTTTGGGTTGGAAGGGACCTTCTGCAGACCATGTAGCTCCAACCCCCCTGCCACGGACAGGGATGTCTTTCGCTGGATCGGGCGGCTCCCGCTCACAAGCAAATGCAAAGCAGTGCTGCCTTCGGGGGGCTCCAGGCAACATGGTGGTGCCACGTGCCCAGTGCCCCCAGAAGCCAGGGGGCTGCGGCGGGTCCCCGGCGAGCAGGACGGCGCGGGCTGCATCGCTCCCCGGCGGTAAATCAGGCGAACGAGGTCTGCGCTTTAACATTGCAAAATCGCACACTTATGTAAAAATATGATCAAAGTTTTATACACGTAGAATTTCCTAACAATAAATCACCTAAATGGATATCTACACTGGGTAATAAAACTGAACAGATTCTAAACTGATCGGTAAAGTTGCCCATAAATTGTTGTTTTTAGCAAGCTGTAAACAAAAGCTGTATAAATACCAAGTGAGCCTTATAATGTCACTGGGTACAGAGGGAAGTGCTCCAGCTGCTCTGTTTTCAGAGAAAACGCACGGGGTTTGGACAACGTTTGGAACTCTTTTGTTACGGCCCAGCATAAACATTAGATCTCCTGCTTGATATATTGGCAACAAAGGGAGAGGAAGGAGCAGAAATCAACGCTGCCGACTTTGCTGCCTCTCACGGCGCTCTCCTCCTCGCAGAGGCTCACACGCCATTGTGTTCCTCGCCGTGGTTTGACGGGGCTGCGCGAGGCACGGTGCTGCTCTGCGCTGTCTGTATTTTATTTAATTGCATCTCAAGAAAACAAAGAAAGCACATCCATAGTCATGCACACCATGCACGGAAGGTAACACTCACCTGACAGGGACAGAAACTACGCGGGATTCCCAGCCCCGAAATCACGGAAGAACACACTGTGAATTCTCATCTTTTTCGAACGCCCGTTTCAGAATGAACCAGAAATGAGCATTTTAGCCGCCTGCCCGGAGGTGAAACACGCGGCCGAGCCCCCAGCACGGGACCCGCAGATTCGGTTACCTGCACCAAGGACTTGGAACCTGCCAGGGAAAAGCCCTTCCCAGAGCGGGTGCTTCAGGTGGTAAAGGCAGAGATGTCAGCTTTGATTTGAGCTAACAGAAAGGAATCTTTGGATGGAAGAGCTCCAGGACCTTTGAATTAAATGAAAGACCAGAACACTCTACAGAATGTCTGCAATAACAGTCTCTACAGAAAATTATGAGGAACTACATAAATCCACCCTCTTCCTCTTCACACAGGCTCATTAAAGCAGTACTGACTCTCTGGGCAGCTATAATTCTGCTGAGTGATACCCTGGAATCACCCTGTCAATACCCAGTGGTGTGCTGCCTCTCCAACTATCTGTGCCCC